GTAGTTGGGATTACAGGCGTGCGCCACTGAGCCCAGCTGATTCTTGTATTTTTAGTAGAGATGGGGTTTCACCACTTTGGCCAGGCTGGTCTCGAACTCCTGACCTCCTGTGATCTTCCCACCTCAGCCTCTCAAAGTGCTTTGATTATAAGCGTGAGCCACCACGCCCAGCCAGTTTCTTACATGTTTTAAATTTAAAGCCGAAAAGAAGGAACTGGGAACGTGTGATAAACATGTGAGTGCCAGAAGTTCGACAGCAATTTGGAGATCAACAGCCCAGCATATTTAACCTGCATTTGTACTGTTTCAGCTCTGCTTGGCTACCTTTTACTTCTGCCACTGGACTTTTTTGTGCATGTGTTTTACTAGTTCAGCATAGAATCTCCTTTTCATTCATACCTACTCTGTTTCTGTAAGTCTGAACTGTTCCATACCAGTTCAAAATGTACTCTAGAAATACTTGCTCATTAATGAGTTTCCTAATTTCCAGCACTGGACTTGGAACATGGTAAGTGTACAGTAAAGTTTTGTATGTGTAGGTCTGTTAGGATTTATCTAGACCTATTCGATGTACCAACCATAATCCCGTATGGGACTGTGTAGCAAGTCAAATGATTGGTTCTCAGTAGTTCAGTCTCCTAAGGTCTTTTGTAGTTGTTACATTCGTGCAGATTGAGAAAACCAATGAAACAAAGCTGGATTGTGTATACAGTTGGCCCTTTAATAATGCAGGGACTAGGGGCCCCAGCTTCCCTCAATTGAATCTGTGTATAAACTGTTTCCCCAAAAACTTGATTGATAGCCTACTGTGGAAACCTTACCAATAAGACATTTAACACACACTTTGTATGTTATGTGTATTATATACTGTAAAAAGTTAGCTAGAGAAAATGTTAAGGAATCGAAAATATGTTATCATGGCCAGGTGCGGTGGCTCATGCCTGTAATCCCAACACTTAGGGAGGCTGAGGCGTGCCAGTCACTTGAGGTTAGGAGTTCGAGACCAGCCTGACCAACATGACGAAACCCTGTCTCTACTGAAAATACAAAACTTAGCTGTACGTGGTGGTGCGCGCCTGTATTCTGAGATACTTGGGAGGTTGAGGCACAAGAATTGACTGAACTTGGGAGGTGGAGGTTGCAGTGAGCTGAGATGGTGCCACTGCACTCCAGCCTGGGCAACAGAATCTGTATCTGTGTGTGTGTGTGTGTGTGTGTGTGTGTGTGTATTTACTCTCAGGTGGAACTGGATTATAAAGGTCTCAATCCTCATTGCCTTCATGAGTAGCTGAGGAGGGGAGTCTTGCTGTCTGAGGGGTGGTAGAGACAGAAGTAAACCTGTGTGTAAGTGGACCCTCTTAGTTCAAGTTTGATATTCAAGAGTCAGCTGTTCAGGGGAAGGCATATCAATAGTTGCAATTACCTAGTACTGCATAACAAAACCTCCAAAACTTATTGCATATTGTAATAAATTACATATTGTATGCCTCCTTTAGGGGAAAAAACAAACTTTTTCCCATCATTTTGGAATCTTTTACTTGAATTACAGCTGGACAATTGAGATTTCCAGATACATAGTGAACTCACTCAGACAAAAATGTCAAGCTTGATTGGTAAAGGAACCTCAAGTGGTATGTATAAGGTGACCATTAAGTATACATGTGTTTACAAAAGTTGGGTATAATGTAACTAGACTGAGAGGTTTTGAGAAAATAAACTTCATTGCTATTCCATGTATAGTTTAAACTAGTGAGATTTCAGTTGACAGCATTAATCAGCAATTTTGGGAGAACTAAATGTTCATTTAACATTAAGATAATAAAAATAATGCCTTAATCATACTTGATTGAGGATATTCCCTTTTTATGCGTAAGGATAGAAGTTAAGTAACTTTAACAAGGACACAATTGATTTGTGTTGGAGCCAGCATTTGGATGGGCCTACACTTTGCACTGCCTTGTAGATATGTCTGTCACACAACTAGTGGTTAAATAAGCATGTTCTTTAGGCTAGAGCTTTCAGAATATGAAATATTTTAGAGACCCGAGTTAATCTACATTTAAACATTCAGATATTTTTTCCTTTTTCTCTCCCCTGCCCTGAAGAGTTTGTATTTATTATAATGTTGTATAACACAGCCCCAATACAATGTGGCTTATGTAGGTTTTTCTGTTAGGCTTAGACATAGACTCTGGGACTGATATGGGAGCTTCATGGTTCTCAGACTGACTTTCATTATTTTTGTTGCAAGTTGGTTTATTATCAAGTGACTGCTGGGGCTCTATACATCTTGTCCAGGTTTAAGGTACAAGATGGGCTGAAGGAGGCTAAAGGCTACTGGCATCCAACCTCTCCTGTAAAAAGAAGAACCTATGGTTTATGCTCACAGTGCCAAAAGTAGGGTAGTAAATAAAGGAGAGCTGGGTGTGAATGCCAGGAGAGGTTAGGATGACAGCCACATTGGCCACATATGTTGAAATAAGTTGATTTAGAAAAGGATTATTTGATCAAGGATATCCTGGAACATAAGGCAAATGACTGCATTTCAGAAATAAGTGAACAGGGCTGAGAAAAGTAATTTTCTTTAAATACAGCCTAAAAGGATTAATTATGATTGGAGTCCTACTTTACCCAAGCCTTTTTATTTCATTTTGCATGATAACCTTTCTCAGAACCATGCATACACAAATGAGGTTGAGACAATGCCTTAATAGTAAATGAAATCTCATTAGAAATAAAAACTATTATGTGTTTTCTGGTTTCTGACCTGTTTAAGGGGTGTTCATTGTTACTCAACAGCGATTTACTTAAATCAGATAGTTATAAATTGTGATAGGGGTTTCTAATGGGATTTGCTTTTTCTGGTAGGTTTAGTGGCAACGTACAAGCTTGCCATAAACGTTTCCTGGGTTTTATCTTTTGTAAAAGTATTATTCCACCTTTCTGAGTCTGGCTACCCCACAGAATTCTTTTATCGCTTTTACTCTTAGATTACCTTGTCTGTAATGAAACCTACCCTCTCTGAAGCCTGAGTTCCTCTTCTAAGGTAACACCACTACCACCTTTTTTCTTTATTCTCATATTTTTTGGGAGAAGTGTCTACACTCACTGCTATATGTTCTCTATCACCTAAGAAAGGTATTTGCCCATTACTGGATATATATGTATTTTTTTCTTAGAGATAATAGTGATCAAATTGAACAGCCTATGACCTCAGGCTGTGTGTTCTGTGGCAATGGAAAAATGATAGCAAAAGAGGGAAATATCCTTGGAATCTAATTCCTTAAATGAAAGTATTTGCCCAAGTGACTGTCAGTTAGATATTTGAGTTGCAAACAACGGGTGCATTTACCTAGTTTCAGAGTAGAAACAGACTTAGGAAAGGTGATAGGTGTTCTTGGGTTCTTAAGAGGGGACAGAGGATTGCTATTCAGCCAGAGCAATGCTTCCACTGTTAGTTACTGGGGTATCTTGTCACCCCAAAGACCAGCCAGAATATCAACACTTTTGAGTGATTGCAGTTTTGTGACAATGTAATACTGGGTCTCAGCCTCCTTCATTGGATTACCTTCCTCTCTGCTCCACTTCATCCAGTTCCATATTTTCATTTGTCATTTCAAAGCTAATATTACCATAACAAGTTTACAAATCATCAGACTCCCTGGTTACTTGTTAATAATATTCAATAAGATAGCCTGCTTGCCCGTTTTGAATAATAACATTTCCAGACAAAACATTAGTCATTTCCCCTCATAAGTGCTGTCAATCAGCTCTCCATTAGGTACATTGGTAAAAACACTCATCCAGGATCTTAGATACTTAGGGAAGTAGACATGTGCTTTGGGAGGCCGAGGCGGGTGGATCACAAGGTTAGGAGATCAAGACCATCCTGGCTAACACGGTGAAACCCCGTTTTGTAATTTTTGTAAAAATACAAAAAAATTAGCTGGGTGTGGTGGTGGGTACCTGTAGTCCTAGCTACTCTGGCTGAGGCCGGAGAATGGCGTGAACCCGGGAGGCGGAGCTTGCAGTGAGCCAAAATGGTAGCACTGCACTCCAGCCTGGGCGACAGAGCGAGACTCCGTCTCAAAAAAAAAAGTGAAAATCGTAACTACTCATCAGAGTTTGAAGTGATTAGAAAGGAATTAACTCAGCCAGAGGAAATCTAAGAGGTAGGAGGTGAACTGGGCTTTGAAGAATGAAAGGTTACAGAGGATTCGGGAAAGCAAATTGGAGGCAGTGAGGACAAGTAGATATATGCATGGCACTCACTCAAGGTTGAGCCGAAAGAGACTCAAAATAAGGCAAGCAGGACCCATTCTGTGGAGGACTTGCCATGCAAGGGTAAGGAATTGGAATGTTATATACAATGGGAGGTGAATAGAAGTTTTCTGTCATACTTTAGGAGTAAAACTGAAGACCGTGTGTATGAGAGTATGGATCAGGTGGTTGGGCCACCCAAAAGCTTAGATGAGAAATGAGAACTGAATTAGGCTGCTGGCAGAACAGAAAGGATGGAGACAGCTGATGGACGGTGCTTGGATCCACAAGTAGGTTGTACTACGGTTAAAAAAAAAAAACAGCACAAAGCACTCTTATAAAGCACTTTAAGCTGTTACACAGATTGATCACTAGGAGGCATCCGTTCATCAACTAGTAAGGCGAAAAGGAAGGCAGCTCTGGACACCCACCTAAGAAGTCTGGATAGTTCCGTGTTAATGTTTAACCTTTTCAACTCAAGGACTTCTAAAAACTAGAATCTAGAATATTTCTTCTGAATAGTACTTCAAAGATTAAATAAGGCCAAGAAGTCTAAACTGCACTCTGAATGTGGGATTATTTGATTATTTATTTTGAGACAGAGTCTCGCTCTGTTGCCCAGGCTGGAGTGCAGTGGCACGATCTCGGCTCACTGTAACCTTCACCTCCCTGTTTCAAGCAATTCCCTTGCCTCAGCCTCCCGAGTAGCTGGGATTACAGGCACATTTTTTTGCATTTTTAGCAGAGACGGGGTTTCACTATGTTGGCCAGACTTGTCTCGAACATCTGACCTCAGGCAATCTGCCTGCCTCAGCCTCCCAAAGTGCTGGGATTGCAGGCGTGAGCCACTACGCCCAGCCTTGGTTATCTTTTATACACTGATGAGAGCAATGTGACATGTTCATAATTTACTGGGTTTTAACTATTTTTTGAAAGATGTTTGACTTTTGAACTATCCAAATCTTTAATAATGATCATTGTCAGGAGTTTCTACTGTATATTGCAAATTAGTTTACATATCAGAATTTTGTAATCATTATGAATTAAACACTTCATAACTTTCCAAGTTCTGTTACATGTCTTTAAGCTAGTATTGATTAATGGACTTTTAATCAAGTGTTTGACTATGTAACTGCCAAGTAAGAAACTTATCAACTCAGTTCCATTACTGTGTTTCTCGTGCTTCTAAATACTCTTACTAGAAAACAGTAGGATGCTAGTTTATATAAACACTTCTCACAATATTAAATTGCATGTTGCTTGGGAAAAGATTTGTGGGATTTATTTTAGATGATGTCTGGACTATGAAAGCATTTAAGATTCAGAGAGGCCTAGCATGTAGTTATCCATTTAAAAATTATAGCAGATATATTTGTAGGGCACATTTCAAGTCCTTACATTTCAAATTTTAGGATGCATCATGAAAAATCTTGTCAGAAGCATTTGAAAAAATTGATATTCTTTTAATGATGGGCATGGACTTCTGACTCAAGTCAAGATTTCTACCTATGTTGAGCATCTACTTTGTATCAGTACTTTTTCTAGGTGATTGGGACACATCAGAAATAATGGTCCTTGCCCTCTTGAATAGCTTGCATACTATTCTAGTAGGAAGGGGAACAGAAATAAGCAATAGGTACAATAAATTATTGAGTAGCATGTTAGAATATATGCTATGGGAAAAATTAAGGGGAATTGGGTGGCTATCATTTGAGAGTGATCAGGATAGGCCTGTTGAGCCAAGACTTGAAGAAAGTGATGACCCTGGGTGCTATGCTGAAAATAGATAATAAGGATAGAATCAGGGAGACAAGTTAGGAGGCCATTGTAATCCAGCGGGGGGATATGATGGTGATTTGGATCAGGGTGGTAATTAAGGAAGTAGAATCCAGATGTAGTTGAAGGCATAACCAGTGGGATTTCCTGACTAAATGTGTAGATCGAATATTGGGAAAGAAAAAAATCAGAAGGCAGGCATGCTTCTATGCCCTTGAAGGCCTGGGGCAAGAGTACAATGGAGATACCATATGTTTAAATATTTAAAAGTTCTGTTTAATGAAAATATGCCCAATGTACCTGTCTTGACAAACTTTCATTAGAACTGGGAAGCCAGGTTTGTATTTATGCCAGAACATAACTTGGGGATAGAGCTGACCCTCAGCCCATGTCCCACCTTCCTTTTCTTCCCACCCCGGCTCTGAACTGTATGGCAAGGGGCCTCCTGCATATTTACTTGGATGCCATAACAAGTATATTCAAACCGTCCCATCCCCCTAACACATCAGTGCATGCAATGATGATGTAATGCATTTCCTGGAACAGCCGGGGCTATTCTGGGCAGGGTATTTGGGGTCCTGAGTACCTAGAGTGTAGTGCAGAATGAGTATGCCCTCTAGATGACATGTCATTTTGACTCTAAAGCGCTCAATCCTAAAGCTCAGGGCCTTGGTAGGGGCCTTTCCTGGCCTGGTGTAAGGGCAGTACTGATTTAGGGTTTTTAATTTGAGCATCTGTACAGAGGATTGCTGTCAACCGAGAAAGGGGGCTGCAGGTAGAATAGGTTAGGGTGAGGAAGATAGTTTGGGAGCTCATTCACACGTTTTATCTTAGATTACACAGGCAGTACTGTAGAGAAGTGTAAATGGAGAATTTTCAACTTATAGTAGCACTCACTGGCCTAGAATATATAAAAAGCGAGGGCTGTTTTTCACTGTAGTTAATTCTAACCTATAAACTGGAGCAGTTCCATGTAGGAATTTGTTATAACCTATTGTGTATGAATTATAGACTCCTCTGACCTATCCAGAGTGTTGTTTTTCAGTTTTGTTTTGTTTTTTTCCTATGACCTAAAATCCCCTCAGACTTAAGCCTCTAGTGAACTACTCAGTAAATGGCTTTACTAGTAAGTGTTCCCCTGCCTGGTATGTTTATTATTTTTTAACTTCAGTGGTTTATTCTTCAGCAGTAAGCAGTTGGGGGTATAAATTTGGGACTCTGGCATATGGATGTTATTAAAAGTGATGAGACTGGATATCAACAAGGGAATGAGTGTAGATAAAGAAGAGAGCCAAAGACTAAGACTTGGGGCATCCCAAGATTAAAAGGTTGGAGAGAAGAGAAAGAACCTCGTAGAGGAGATACCAGAGTGATGTCCTTGAAGCCAAGTGATAAACTTTATCCAAGAGAAGAAAATGAACTGTCCAATGTTGCTGATAGACAACTTGATATTGCCAACTGTAAAATGTACTTTGAATTAGCCATTTCGAATTTGTTTACCAAAGCAATGATTTTGTTGACTAGTTTTCTAAACTTCAGTAACTTTTAAGTGACTTGTAGGTTTTCATTGCATACACAGCTGAATTTTTTTTTTTTTTAAACAGGGTCTTGCTGTCGCCCAGGCTTGTTATAGTGGTGCGATCCTAGTTCCTGCAACCTTGAACTTCTGGGCTCAAACAGTCCTCCACCTCAGCCTCCCAAGTAGCTGGGACTACAGGCGCATACCACCACACCTGGCTAATTTTTGTTTACTTTTGTAGAGGGAGGCCTTGCCATGTAGCCCAGGTTGGTTTCAAACTTCTGGGCTCAAGGGATCCTCTTGCCTCAGTCTTCTAGTGTGTGTATTACAGGTATGTGCCACCATGCCTGGCCCAAAGCTTTTTTTTTTTTTTTTTTTTTAAGTTCTGTAATGCATTTTCTGTGAATTTATTGTCTTAAAAAATTGGCAAATATGGCCATTTTGACATATTTGCCAAATATTAGCATATGGCAACTATGCTCTTAATTTGTTAAGTCACCAACTGTTGGTGATGACTGTTGAAATAACAAGAGCACAGTTGTCACCAGTCTCCAGGATCCTTACACTACTGTTATTTTCAATAATGCCCCATAGTCAGACGTTGTAGACTTAACCACTGAGCTGCTCACAAAATCACTACATCATTGTGAAATATGTAACTGGAAATTCTGGGCTTTAAAGTCTCCAGTTATAATTAAATGGGTGATTTTGAAAATTGTGGTGGCTGTTCAGACATTTTCAAATGAGACTAGAACGCATTTGTTTCAGACTGATAAGCTGCAGAAGGTTAGATAACACCAAATACATTTGGGTTTCTCCTTAGAAAATGATTTGGGTCTCCAGATTACATCTCATTTTTTTTTACCCTATCAAGTTTGTTTTTCCATATGAAATGTCTTTTCCAACTACACCTGCCCTTGGAGACTGTGAATAACAGACTTAAAGGAAGTATCCTTTCCAGATGAGCTGAAGAATGTCATCCTCTTAAAAGAATGAACAGCTGGTCATGTAGAAATTCTCTGGAATGCTCACTTGTCCTACAAAGGCAGGGGGCAGAAAGCATGTTTGTAGTTTTTTTGTTATTGGTATACATAATTGTAAATCTTTGAGACATAATTTTACTAGAAATCCACATAATTTTAATAATTGCCTTTCTCCTGGAAAGATGGCTAATCAGTTAACAATGTGAAGGCTAGAAAGCTGGCCAAGCATAATTTAGTGGGATTCAGGATTGCTGGCTGGATTGTCCCGTTTGATCAGACCATGTTTCTTAGATGAAGATTCAGGACGCCCTCGTGTATAAAAGTTATCCTTTGTTCTGATTACGTTGGTATTAAGTTCGAATTTCTTACCATGACACACAAAGGATTCGACTCTTGCTTAGCTGTCTAAGCTCCTCTCACTTTCTCTTCCCCTCTTGAATTCTTTGCTCTTGCCACACAACTAGCAGATGAGCTAATCTATCTGTTCCAATGTGGGCACAGTAGCAGCCCTTCCTCTTACCTTGGCCCACTCTGACTTGTCCAGCCCTGGTTTAATTCTTCGTGAGGGTCCGCACGTAGTTGGGGCTGTTTACTAAACGGATGAATTTCCCTACCGGGAGGCTAGGTCTCCGTTATGCTTTAATTCCCAGGAAGCGGCTTCTATAGGCATTGTTTAAATGTAAGGACTAGGAGGGAGCTGGGGGTATTGCATTCCCCAGGTCACAGATAAATGAGATTCCAAAACCAACATCTGGCTAGGCGCTTGGAAAGAGGGACCCCCGAGGTCGACCAGGCGTTTAGAACTGTGCCTTGCAGTGTGGGATCTCAGTACCGGATATTACCCCGGTTTGTAGAGTTACTGTTTAAGAGACGATGAACACCGTAAGGACGGGTCAAGAAGAAAGCCGAAGACGGGTTAGCGCCTCCGGTCGGGGTAGAGAAAAGGCAGGCGAAATGCGACCTGACGTGGGTCAGCCTTTCTCCACCCGTGGCAAACCCGACAGTCGCACCATTGCTTTAACAATCGCCCTCTTTCCAAGAAGAGCTACTTAGTGACCGTGAGCGAATATGCCTGGGAAGACACGATGTCCTCTCGGCCTCTGTGCGCTCACTTGTTTACCTAGGCGTCCGGGGGAGGCACACTCGCGGGACTCGCGGGACGCGGCCCCGGCCTCCCGGCTCACGCAGGCTACGACGCTGGTTCTGCGAATCCCCAGGGCTAATTCCCAAGAACGGAGAGACAGCACAGCCTGGAGGCTGCCCCCGCCTCCGCGCCCCTGTCCTCACTTTCTGAGGCTGTTAACAGAAAGCCCCGTGGGCCGGGGAGAGGCGGGACGCGGGGGATGGCTTCGCAGCGCCCTGTGAGCGTCGGCTTTAGTCGTCAGGCAGCCAGGACTCCTTGGGCGATCGCCCTGGGTGGAGGAGAGGAGTTTCCGGGGCTCGGGTCCGGGTCGCCTTCCAGGGGAACAGGCACGGAAGCAAGTGGGCGGCGAGAGGCGGAGCGAGGGACGCGGGGGGCGTGGACGCAGCCGGCTTTGGAAAGGCCCCAAGTTAATGAGGCGTGCGCCGGCTGCCGAGCGCCTTTCGGAGCTGGGCTTTCCCCCGTGGTGCGGGCGCCAGGAGCCGCCTTTTCCGCTGGGTGTCACTCGGGGGTGGGGAAGATGGCCCATTCAAAAGCGCCGCGAGGGGGCCCGGCCAGTGCCCTTCAGTGAGCGCTCGCAAGAGGACGGCAGAGGCCCGGCAGCTCGCGGCTCCGGGACTTTGTGGCGCATCAGGACGCGGCTGTCCCTCTGCCGGGACCCACAGCCGCCGCCGCCGCTCTGCCTTCTGCGTGTTAGCCTCCTCTGCGCGCTCCGGGCAGGCGGCCGTGGGAGCCGCTGGGGCGAGGACGGCGCGCGGCTGCTGCTGCTGCCCCCGGCCCGCGCGGCTGGAAACGGAGAGGCCGAGCCAAGCGGCTGCCCCTCTTATGCTGGGAGGATGCTGGAGAGCAGCGGCTGCAAAGCGCTGAAGGAGGGCGTGCTGGAGAAGCGCAGCGACGGGTTGTTGCAGCTCTGGAAGAAAAAGTGCTGCATCCTCACCGAGGAGGGGCTGCTGCTCATCCCCCCCAAGCAGCTGCAACACCAGCAGCAGCAACAGCAGCAGCAGCAGCAGCAGCAGCAGCAGCAGCAACAGCCCGGGCAGGGGCCGGCCGAGCCGTCCCTACCCAGTGGCCCCGCTGTCGCCAGCCTCGAGCCGCCGGTCAAGCTCAAGGAACTGCACTTCTCCAACATGAAGACCGTGGACTGTGTAGAGCGCAAGGGCAAGTACATGTACTTCACTGTGGTGATGGCAGAGGGCAAGGAAATCGACTTTCGGTGCCCGCAAGACCAGGGCTGGAACGCCGAGATCACGCTGCAGATGGTGCAGTACAAGAATCGTCAGGCCATCCTGGCGGTCAAGTCCACACGGCAGAAGCAGCAGCACCTGGTCCAGCAGCAGCCCCCCTCGCAGCCGCAGCCGCAGCCGCAGCCGCAGCTCCAGCCCCAACCCCAACCCCAATCCCAGCCTCAGCCTCAGCCTCAGCCGCAACCCCAGCCCCAATCACAACCCCAGCCTCAGCCCCAACCCAAGCCTCAGCCCCAGCAGCTCCACCCGTATCCGCATCCACATCCACATCCACATCCACACTCTCATCCGCACTCGCACCCACACCCTCACCCGCACCCGCACCCGCACCAAATACCACACCCACACCCACAGCCGCACTCGCAGCCGCACGGACACCGGCTTCTCCGCAGCACCTCCAACTCTGCCTGAAGGGGGCAGCTCCCGGGCCAGACAAGGTAAGGTCCCGGCACTCGCGCTCCAGAGGAGTGGGTCTCGGGAGTGTGTTGGGAGGAGTAGGAAGCTCGCTCACAGGTTCGGCTCCTGTATGGAGAAATCAGAACTCATTCCGAGTTTCTGGGGCGATGGAAGGAACAGAAACAAACTGGAGCCAGGAGGGCCTGGGCAGAGAGGGAAGGCTGGGGAGACCCGGGCCAGGCAGGGGGCCTCGCAGACCGCGCCCGCGCCCATCACGACCGTGCTTGTCCGGTGGTGCGCCCCCCAGCCCCACTTGACTGTGTGTTTGGGCACTTGAGGGAAACACCGCGGTGCCTTTCTGAGCCCGCTTTGTCAGCCGGACTGGCCCGAACAGAACTGGTCTGGGAGGGTTCCTAGCCACCTACTTCACTCGGTGTCATTTCTTTCCAGGTTTTGAGGACTTGAGGAAGTGGGACGAGCACATTTCTATTGTCTTCACTTGGATCAAAAGCAAAACAGTCTCTCCGCCCCGCACCACATCAAGTAGTTTGGACATCACCCTACTGAAAACTTGTGATTCGTCTTAGTTTTCTGCATACTTTTCATCACGATGCAGGAAACGATTTCGAGTCAAGAAGACTTTTATTTATGAACCGTTGAAAGGATCGTCTAGTATGGTGAATTTTCTAGGAGCGATGATGTACTGTAATTTTATTCTAATGTATTTTGATTTATGATTATTTATTAGTTTTGTTTTTTTAAATGCTTGTTCTAAGACATTTCTGAATGTAGGCCATTTTCCAAAAAGGAAACTTTATTTTCAAAAACCTATTCCATAGTAAGTCCTAGTCTTGGAAAATAAAAAAGGGCGGTGGAGGGGAAAACATTAAGAATCTAGTCATTATTCCTGGAGTACTTTCAGAAGGTATGACACTTTCATTGTTATGCCAAGTGGTTGAAATTAAAACTCCGATACTACTTTTTTTGAGGATTTTTGTTTTTGTTTTTGCTTAGACATATAGTTTGTCTAGAAGTTTAAAAAAGCTAAAAGTTCAAAATGGTGTAATTATGAATATCTAATGCTCAAGATAGTTGCTAAAAGGAAATCAGTAGTAGGGATACCTGATTTCAAAATATTTAAAACATAACCTAACTGATGATGGTAGGATGATTGTATCTTGAATATGTGGTAGGGCCACAACTACTGTAGGAAAACCTCTTATCATCTGTGTGTAAAGGGCTTAACAAGGAGAAGAGGTCTTTTGACTGATTTATGAGTATAAATGCATTTGCTGTTTCATTTCAAAAATGTTGTGGAGGAAAATAGTATATTTAACTTGTGTAAGAGAATATTTGTGCTCCTGTCCAGGCTGCAGGACCTTTCTCCGAGAGGTTTGCACACTTGAACCACATTTTCTGATCCCTTTACTTTGTTTTAGAAGCACACTGAAAAATCTCATTGTTTAAAGTACAATTTGTAAATATTTCAAAGGTCTAGGCGTCATAACTTTTTGTTTTCATACTGAAAATGATGTTGATCAGAGAAACCAACTGTTTTGCTTTTCATTGCTCTGTGAGAAATTTGAGGATTCTGTTTTGTTGTTAGGTTAGCTAAATCAGAAATTGAAAAGGAAAAGACTGGATAAACACAGGATTTTCAGTAAGAAAACAACCCCAGTCTTGTCTTAGAAGCCACTTGTTGAGGAGTCTGGGGGGGGAAAAAAGAGGATGTGCTTTTAAAGGTAGAACAAACCTTCTTCTGTGTTAAATCAAAAGGATGTTCAAAATCCACCAGGGCAGATGCTACTTAAGTTTAAATGGAGCCATAGATGATACAAAGTCCTCTTGGGGCTGAAAATCACTTCCTATCTGCATGGCTTTACTAACTGGTTTCTGTTTTCCATTATCTTTTTCACAGAAAGATATTGGTCAGTATTTTTCCAGCATTTAAATTGAAACGGTCAGTATCAGACCACTGCTAGGTTATGTAGTCAAGAAATAAAAATAGAATTACATGCTACAGATGTCTTTATTCTCCTTCCATCTAGAAAGGAGTTCCAAGGTCAAAGTACTTTTTAGTGCAATAGTTAAATGACATTTTGAGATCATAACTCTTATCCAAAAAGTTGCAGGGAAAATTAAATAGTTTTCCCCTATTAAGCAAATGGCAAACAAAACTTAAGTGGACCCCCATTTCCAGTGGTTATTTAGGTTGCAGTTGTGAAAATATGCTGCCAACACTTAAAAACTAATTTCATATGTATATATGTATATACATATATGAATATGCATGTACATATACATATATGAGAACATGTATGTACACATATATGCATATATATGAATATATATGTATATGTGTGTATATATGTATATGAAATGAGAGCCGGATCTAAAGATTTCTTAAATCAAGTTTGGTTCAGCTTCCTTAGAAGTACGGCTGTACTTTTTGAGGAGTGCCTCATAGTACTATACTTTTAATGCATGCAAATCATAATAACTCCAAATGAACCACAATTTTTTTCCCAATGGAGGATTTTTCTTTTAAATTCTTGTACTAAAAATTAAAAAATCCATACCAAATACTTTACAAATTAAGATTGGTGTACGTTTTAAAAAAGGCATTTGTATGTTGTTAGCTTACATATGGGGCTAGGTAATTTCATTGCTTACAAAAATATGCCCAGGCTCCCTCTTGGTGGCTGGATTTCGTTTTTTTCCCCCCATGGTGGCCATGGTTCTTAATAGGGCCACCAGAATCATGGTTTCTTTTCTTTTCTTTTTTTTTTTTTTTGAGATGGAGTCTCACTCTGTCGCGCAGGCTAGAGTGCAGTGACACGATCTCGGCTCACTGCAGCCTCTGCCTCCTGGGTTCAAGCAATTCTCCTGTCTCAGCCTTCTGAATAGCTGGGACTACAGGCGCATGCCACTATGTCCGGCTAATTTTTGTATTTTTAGTAGAGACGGGGTTTCACCATATTGGTCAGGCTGGTCTCGAACTCCTGACCTCAGGTGATCCACCTGCCTTGGCCTCCCAAAGTGCTAGGATTACAGGCGGGAGCCACCATGCCCTGCCCCAGAATAATGGTTTCTTGACTTTCCATAGCCCTTGTTCCTTAGTCTTTTGTGATATTTATGTTGACCTTTATCACTTTCTATTCTGAACCCCTCTTAGCATTTAATGTGAAATCTAAGAAATCAGAGAGAAGTAGAATGGCTTTTATTGTTTTGACACCTTTGAAATTATTATTAGTAATTTTTCCAGAGCAAAAAATCAAACACGCTCAATAAGTCTAACCAAAACAAAATATAAATGTACATCATTTAATGTCTCAGTGGCTCTATCTACCTGTAAGAAAATGATACAAACCACCTAAGGTATTTTGAAGCCTGACAAATCAACTTCATGGAAAAAGGTAAAAAATGCATTTTTCAACCCAAGGAAAAGATGACCGAAAGGGCAGATCCAATAGAGGACCCACTCCTTAAATAAACATAAAATGTAAAAAGTTGGAAAATTAGGAGTAATGTTCCATCTGGAAACTGAACTTTTTATCCTTGAACTTGTGTTGGCACCAAGCCTCATACACAGTGAGCTCAGTAACTGTCTGTTGGGACAAAGGAAGGAAGGACAAAATGTGTAACTCCCCAGCATCTGGGAGATGCTGTCTCTTGCCTCGCTGAGTGTTCCTTTTATTTGCTCTCATGTCATTCCCTGAGAACAACGAATTCTGGGACAGGCTAAACATCATGACAAAATTTCTTAAACAGACTTTCTGAGTGGAAATCCATTTAGATCTGTGTATGCTCTATGGGGAGTGCTGACGTCAGAGTAAACGTCTATAAGGGGCCCTTTTAAAATGAACATTTTCCTCATTGAGCAAGCTGGGATTCTCTAATCATGTAGAAATCAAACCATCTTTATAATTTCACTTCAAATGTTTATGGTTTTGTGTTTTTGTCTCCAATGATGGTAAAAATAAAAAACACACGTTACTTAAAGGAGTTTCCCTCACATGTAAACACTGTTAGGAAGTCTGGATTAAGTTGAAAGTCTTGTTTTAACTATTATTTTCTCTCATATACCAAACACTCTGTATTTCTCTTAAAGAAGCTCTTTAAGAGAAAGCCCTAATTTTAAATCTGACAGTAAAGTTTGCTGCAAGTGTATGAGTTCAAACACATCCCTTGTTTTCTGTCCCTAGGGGAAAAGTCATGTGGTTTTAGCTTGGCTCCTGTGTTAATATTATATTCAGTAGCAGGCTTAGAAGAGTGGTCTAAGACTCGAACCTGGAGCAATTTTATAGCTCAGAATCCTATGAAGATAGGACTGTGAGCATTTGTTTTCTTTTTTTGTGTGTCAAACTAATTGGCTTTTGCTTTAGCAATAAAATGTCCTCAACAGAATAAATTTTAAATGTGAAAATTATAGATCTTGGTATTGAATCCATCAGTGATTCAAGAGATACACCTATTTGCCTAAAACAACACAAGATGTATTAGTTATGGAATTACATGTTGGATAGGTTCTTAAAACCTGTTTCCTCAATTCTTGACACAGTTTTCAAGGGTGGCTTTTTGACTTGCACGGTTGGGCAGATAATCCAGATTTACCTAAGATTGGGTAAAAAAGTGATCTGTGACTTTGCTGGCAGGGCATTTGCTAAATGGAGTACAGGATCTAACAGGGTTTTCTTAGAAAGGGCAAGATTGTCCAATGAAGGAAGCAGAAGGACTCTGGGTTAGAAGGATCTGCACAAAAGCTGGTGAGACCTACTCTCCACTGCTCTGCAGCTGGTCAGCTGATGGCAGGCTGAGCAGTGGGGAAGCAGGTTTTAACAACAGGTAGTCCTTCCAGGTCACTGTATATTGAGAAGAAACATAAAACTATTTTGTGTCACATTCCAAGGTCAGCCTTCTTCTTAACGTTTTATAGTATACAAATGCCAGCTTCTGGAAAGCAAGTGTCATCATGTACCAAATGCTTTATACACCATCACATTCGTGAATTTTTTAGCATGGTCAGAACTTGTGTAAATATGTCTCTTAGATGATTTTGGGGAGATGTGATTTATTTTTCATATTTTCAAAATGCATTCCATTTCAAATAAAGTATCTATTGAGACAACTGACCTGTGGACCTTTTGAAGGCCTTGTTCAACTGGCACATGCACTGTGTGTTCCTGTGAAACAGAGATTCTGAATTGCTTGGGCATTCTGAGGGGAAAAAAAAGACGATTTTTGAGGTTGGGAATTCAATTTTTAAAAAATTCACTGGGAATTTGGAATATGAAAATTCACTCAGGTCTGTTGGTGAAAAAATTAGCTTTCAGAATGCTAATGAACCTTAGTGGAATTTTCCATAGTTTCCCAGAGGACCAGAAACAGTCCCTAGTGAATCAGCTCAACAGCAATTCCCTCTTGAGTCCCAGAGGTAGTCTAGTTCTCTTATGTCTCTTGGGAGGGTAAAGCTTTGTCTCTGAGTCATCCTTCAAACAGGTATTCATAAACCTTCCTATTTTGTGTTGAAAGCAGAAGGACTTGATTCTTTAAAGAAAAACAGCATAACTTTATTCTTACAATCTCCACTGGCATCTAAAGGCCTTTAAATCTCAAAAGACTTTAAATTAGGAAACTTGAAGTCTTTTTTTTTTTAATCCCTTAGCATAGTCTTGCACGGGCAGCTTTACTACTGTAGTTTTTTTGTTTGTTTGTATTTTTAAAGAAAAAATGTGAGAAGACAAATTACTGTCATGCTAAGGGGACTTCAGGGACACTGTGCAAAATCAATATATATAGTAGGTGGTAGGCCAGGATTGGTAAGAGCCAGGATTTGAGAGTCATAGTACACCGGTTCAAGTCCCAGTTTCACAATTATTAGCTGTGTAGATCTTGAATTACTTAAACTCTTGGAAACTCAATTTCCTTTTCTGTAAAATGAAGTTTATAAAGGTACTTATTTTAGGGTGTTGAGGAGATTTAATAGGATACATAAAAGTACTTAGAGCAGTGCCTGCCATCACTGTGAAAGGAAGCTCCTTGTATTAGGGCAGATAAACGGGGAATCATTATAGCCATATGAATATATAATATATGGTATTCTGAAGCTAGGCATTATATTTTCTGAGATCTCAGCACTTATTTACTTATTTATTTAAAACAGAGTCTTGCTTTGTTGCCCAGGCTGGAATACAGTAGCGCCATCTTGGCTCACTGCAGTCTCCACCTCTAGGGTTCAATTCTCCCACATCAGCCTCCTGAGTAGCTGGGATTACAGGCGTGTGCCACCACAATGGCTAATTTTTGTATTTATAGTAGAGACAGGGTTTCACCATGTCGCCCAATCTGGTCTTGAACTCCTGACCACAAGTGATCCAGCTGCCTTGGCATCCCAAAGTGCTGGGATTACAGGTGTGAGCCACCATGCCTGGCCTCAGCACTTCTTTTTCAACCGTTAAGAACAGTATGGTTGACCACATCCTTGTATTCAACTTTGAAAAAAGGGAAAAATACATTATAGAGATACTATTTAAAATTGTGTTATTATTATTATTATTATTGTTTCTTTGGAAACGGAGTTTCTCTCTGTAGCCCAGACTCTGAGATGCAGTGGCACAATCTCGACTTACTGCAACCTCCGCCTCCCGGGTTCAAGCTGTTCTCCTGCCTCAGCCTCCTGCGTAGTTGGAATTACAGGCATGCACCACTATGCCTGGCTAATTTTTATATTTTTAGTAGAGACGGGGTTTCACCATATTGGCCAGGCTGATCTTGAACTCCTGATCTCAGGTGATCCGCCTGCCTCAGCCTCCCAAAGTGCTGGTTTTACAAGTGTGAACCACCACACCTGGCCAATTTTTATTATTATTTAGAGACATGATCTTGCTCTATTGCCCAGACTGGAGTTCAGTGGTGTGATCATAGCTCACTGCAGCCTGGAACTCCTGGGCTCAAGCATCCTCCCACCTCAACCTCCCAAAGTCCCAGGATTACAGGCATCAGCCACCATGCCTGCAAACACTACCATTTTAATGACAATTTTCATATGCTTATTACTGTCCAGTCTTGGTCCACATGCTTATGTATTTTAAGTTACTTACAAATTAGTCTATCAAAAAAGTCATATATGTAGCTGTGGTGCTTTGCCCAGATTGCCACTTCAGGACAGAGAGGGCATTCAGTCACCATATGTGGAAGTGTTGGTGACTATCATGTTCGCAGCAAGTCCTTTCCCTGGGGACCCACCTTGTCCTAGAACATACCCCCTCCTTGGGGGTAGCCCACATCCAGTGATGGGTCTATGGGGAGTGGATGAAGGTCAGGCCAACTGTAAAGGATCATCCCAGCTGCAGAGCTGCCTGTGGAATTGGCAGAGGCCTATCACAACCAGTGTGCATTGTAGTCCAACTCTCACTCTGCTCAGTTCTGTTTCCCTTGCTTCCTCACAGGTGAGGTTCCCAAAAACACTCCTTGGGGTGGGAACACTCGCTCTCCCCCAACCTCCTGCCATCAAATCTCAGAGTCTCAGAACCTGTATCTCAGGGAATCCTGTCTATGACCATGTCTGTTTCTGTATGTGAATATATGTATGTTCCCACCACCAGGTTCTATAGGAAGGCTGGTGGTGTTGGGAGGGGAATAAACAGCATAATGGTGAAGCATAGGCTTTAGGGTAGTGGCTCTCAACCTAGAGCAATTTTGCCCCTCAGAAGACATTTAGCAACGTTTGGAGTGATTTTTGGTTATCACAAGTGGTGAGCAGAGGCCAAGGATGCTGCTAAATATCCTACTATGCACAGGAGAGCCCCACCTACAACAAAGAATTACCCCGCCCAAAATGTCAACCATACCAAGGTTGAGAAACCCTGCTTTGGAATCAGATAGTCTCATTCTTATTAGCTGAGTTGCTTTGGGCAAGTAATTTAATTTATTTTAGCCTCCGTTTTCAGCATGTGTAATGCAGAAAATGATAGTACCTGTCTCATGGAGTTGTGAAACCAAAATTAGTTAGTTCACATAAAGGACTGTGGCTGTTCCTGTCACAAAGTAAGCATTCAATAAGTGGTAACTATCATCCTTATTATTATTGTTTAAAGTCATAATGTTAATGACAGCATAATATGCCATTTAGTTGGTGTATTATTTCACTTATTTGCCTGTTGCCATCTGGTGATTTTCTGTTGTTATGCTGTTAACAATACAGCTGCAATAAACATCATCATGCATACATTATATTGAATAAAAAGCATGAACTGGGATTCTAGTTCTGACTTAGTCTTCTGACATTAGCAGCTCATTAAATCTCTATGAGCCTTAGTCTGCTCATTTGTAAGTGGGAATAATAGCCCTGCCTAAGAGAAGCTATTATGAAGATACTATGAAGTGGCAGTAAAATCTGCATGAGTTCAAGTCCCAGAGGCACCACTTAGCCACTTGACTTACAGTAAAGCATCATGAAAATTGCAAACATTATTATCTGGATTGCATTTTAAGAGGAATTAGATATTATATGTTCATATACATATGTATATTTCAATCCAAATAATCTGGTTTTAAGAAATAGGATGGGCTGGGCATGGTGGCTCATGACTGTAATCCCAGCACTTTGGGAGGCCAAGGCAAGAGGATCATTTGAGGCCAGGAGTTCAAGACCAGCGTGGGCAGCATAGCAAGAACCCCATCTCTAATTTTCTTTTTTAAGATTCTGACAAAGGGGTATTAAAAAATGCAAACCATTCCAAAAAAGAGAAATAAAAATTTTAAAAAGAAAAGGAAACAGGATGTTACTGTAACTAAAAAAATAGTATCAAGTAATTTCTAGTTTTTTATAGAATTTGACCCAAATTTATATTTATGGTAAAGTGGAAGGAATCATGTCAACTTATTGACGGAGGAAGACGTGAATAATGAACTCATTGACCATATGAATCTATTCAGCAAAATATTCTTACTTGCTTTTCTCTCAAAGACCTGGTGGGAAGCCCTTATCAGCTACATAGAAAGGCCATAATCAGATGTCATGGTGCGAGTGTTCCAGAGCTCTAGCCTTACTTGCCTACAAAGTAAGTCTGTTTATCAAAGATGGCAGCAGTGGGGGCCAGAACACTGGAAATTTAGATGATATGGGATAGACTGTTGCTGTGGGCAAATCCAATTGGTTTGAGGATTGTTCAGATTCTGATTTTATCTTGAAGGACCTGAGGATAAAGAGGTCCACTTTGTTACTCCTAGACACAGAGTCAGAATTAGCTGCTTCGGAGATACAGTCGATGTGAGAATGGCTTGCTTTTTGCCAGAGCATTCACCTGAAGCATTTGATATTTAGTTAGGCTCCGGAAATGAAAACTTGAAAAAATAGTCAACGCGGTTATGTTGTATACTCTTAAGGCCTGCCAAAGTCGTTTATAATGGAGTGAGCAAACACATACTGCCGTCTTTTAAGACCAGACATCCTGTGCTTCCAAAGCAACTGATAAATGAGTATTCAAGTATGGGAGAGAAAGAAACAGGAAATGACCCTTGGGGAGTTTCAAAGTTTTAATTATGTTACTATCCTCAACTGGCTTTCTCCAGAAGCTGATAGTTCATACAGCTGACTTATTTTGCAAGTATTTTGAACTTTGCCGTAGCAAATTCTAACCAGTAGTGTGGCTTACCCCGTCAGGGCTGACTCACGACCTCAAAACTGCAGACCAGCTTTGTGACTAATCACAGCCAAAGAAGCCAAACTTGTAGCAATTTTAGGCATATTCCCTCATTTTTTTTTTTTTTTTTTTTTTGGTTTTTAGTTGTTAAAGAAATGTTCGTTTCTACAAAGCTTGGCTGCAGTTGATTGGCTGTAGTTGGTAAACACCTGCCTTTAATGATCCTTCCAAGGAACCCTCAAATATATACATTGTGTGTGTGTGTGTATGTGTGTGTATGATAATTACTGTTTTTACTCTTCTCGCTGGTAACTTTTCATGGCATGTGAAGGCGGGCTTGTCAGTTTTTTGGTGCGGAACCTGATCTCTAAGAGTTTGAAGCAGCCCTGGGCAGAGTGGCTTCCTTAGAGCTTTGAGTGCCCTGCTTTGAGGGTGAGGCCTGTCCTGCCCGAACACCTATGACAAAGTAGTGGTCTGTGATAGTG